TTTCTCTTATTCACCAACACGTCCACAACAATATCTGTTTTTCTCATCGCGTCCTCTTACTTATAAAATAGCGCTGTACGCCTTTGCCGAGTACCATTGCGTCCCAGTGAGTTATTTGCCCCAAGAGAGTTTTCTCATATAATAACAACACAAAGTGTTCATACATATAACACAGGCGTATTTATCTCGGAGCACTTAAAATACATTGAGACGTAGCCGTTTACTGTATCTTTGGTTTTTAAAAACACATATTGTACATAATGAAAAAACTTCGCGTTGGATTTTGATTAAAAAACATAACTCTGATTGCGATACCCTACAGCAGTATTATTATACATGTAGATCTTCTACAAATATTAGCTGTGCGATATTCTGTAAACATGACACATACTATAGTAGATACCCATCAACTTTTTGTTAGTTGAAAAAAATTGTACGTTACTTTCTGTTTCTCTGCATAATTATTTTCCCGTGTACTTCAAAAAGTTCTTTAAAGAATATGTTTAATTTGTATGGAAAAGCTTCAGGCGCGATGGTAGTTTCTTGGATTAATACAAAAATTAAATTTTACTGTTTAGATTGGATTTTAACTAGATATTTTTGATTATGATAGTGAGAATAGTTAAAAAATACTTCACTAATGATTATATTGATGATCTATCGCAAAAAATAAACAGTGCACTTTTAAGAATTTTTTAGGAGTTCCATTTGAATATTTTTTTAATTAAAAATTTAACACAAATTCTAAATTTGGAATATTATAAATTGGTGGGATTTCAAAATGTAATAATTAATGTTGATGTAAAAAATGTACTACGTTTATTCCGTGTTTTAATTCATAAACAAAATAAATGCTTACTTTTTGTATCCATATAACAATCGATTTGATTTCCCGAACTATCGGGAAACTACTGCACTTAAAAATATCCCCAGGATATTGTAATCCAATCGGTATTAACCAACCTGCGGATGTAAAAAAAGAAAAAAATAAACTATCGATATTACATTTTTATTAGAGTTCCAATATTTATAAATTGCCAATTAATGTTTTAATCATAATATTCTTCGTGTTTTCTTTTTTGTTTTGAAATCCAGTTGTAGTTGTTTAAAGTTTTCCTTTGGTTTTTTATTTGTTTTAACAAGACAATGTTCCCAAAAACTAATCCTTTCCACAAATACACGATAATATCAGCATTTTACTTTCAAATGCAAACCAGAAGCTATTAAATTTAATAGTAGGAAATTTATTTTGTTTAAAAAGGGACACTTTAATTTTAACAAGCTATTTGTGAAAGTCACAAAAGAATCTTTCACCGTCTTCGTTTTAACTGGAAAGTCTTTATTTGGAGCTAATTAATGTCAGTTCTAAAAATAAACGGGGCTTGGGCCATTGTTTTAGTAATTTTAATCGAAGTATATTGATATAAAATAATGTAAAAATACATGAATGGTATCGTAAATGTGTTGAATTGGTAAAATTTCAATTAAGTATTTTATTGGTTTCGACTACAGTTTAAAAAAATCTATCGAGCCTTTGTAAAAATGTTGAATGAAAATCTCTTTAGAAGAATTCCACTTAGTAATTTACGCGATGACTTTAAAAATGTATTCATTTTATAAATTCAATGGGGCATTTTATAGTAGAAAAATAATCAATGAATTGAACTGTTAAATTTCTAAAAATTGTTTACATCTTTTAATATTTTTACACCATATAGGTTGCTGGGACTTTATGATGTCGATTAATATTTAAGTTGTAGATTAAATGTAATTAAATTAAAATTTAAGTCATACATTTCTGAGATTCAAGTAAACTGCGGAGTATATTAGAAGTATTGACAATTATTTTCACATTTTAGCTAAATGAAATCTTAAGCAGGGAGTCTGTATGACTTGTGCTGAAGTCGCAGACATTAAAACGACCTCTATGTTTAATTATTCAGACGAAGCCGTCTCACTGCATTATATTATGTTGCACTAACACGCTCACACATAATATGTGTTTGTATACATCTCTATGGTAGTATATCGTGTTCGTTTGTCTTGTGGGAATTTAATCGTGTTCATTTTTTTTCACTACCCTTGAAGTATGCATGCTGTGTTAAATTTTAATACTATTATCTAGTCGAGTTTGCTCATTAATTGAAATAACGTGCGGTGAGCTCTGTTATAATTCATTCGATCTGCTGGTGAACCGTAAACTAACTAATTGGAGATGGATAGATGTACCTTTGTTTATTGAAATTTCATAAAGTGAACCCTTTTATCCGATTAAATTATTCAAAGTATATCAAATAATGAAAATCGTCTATACTCTGAAATATTATACTTAAAACAACAGCTGAAGAATCCAACAATTTATACACTATTCAATTCTTTGGAAGAGAAACATTACGTTGAATATGAGAATAAGTCGGATGATCCGAGCCATATAGGTAGAATTATGTAGCGTTTTTATCCGGGAGAATCCAAGTATAAGGTTCGGATACTTTTTGTTTGAAATAAAGAAACATTATTTGAATACCAAATGGATATCGATAACACGTACATTAGTGTATATTCACATTTTATATATTTTCTTAAAGGCTTGGTGACCGACATTGCGAGTAAAAAAATATGGCCAGCCAAAATTGAATTTCAATAATATCAATCATAAATGCACCATATGAACTAACGTATAGTTTATCACATACTCTCTTGCGTGACTGACATTTTTACTATTTATAGAAAACATTATTATTTTTTTGTGTGTGTTCCATAGCGTGCTAAATATTACGCTAAATATGTGGGGTGAATTTTTTTTTATAAAATATTGTTGTTCGTAAAAAGAACATGATTTTCGCAATCACTTAAGCTTACGCTTTACATAGTTCAAGTAAATGAAAGTGTATTGCGATGAATTGCGTAGATATTATGGATGTTGAAGAATTCTGTGCCATGTAATTAATTTCATAAAGTTAGTTACTAGTTTACAAATTATACAGCAGTAGAGAAAAAATTCAATGTAAACTCAAAAGATACTCGCAAGTCCGTACTTTCATTTTACGTTTAGTTATTTTAATTACAGCGACCGCCTTGTTCGTATCGACATAATAATATTTCAACGGTTCGCGTTGTCTTAGCATTTCTCTCGTCATCTCGCCGATTACTCCTCTTTGACTTTTGATGCAAATTTAACGTGTAAAATACTTTTGATAGTGGGTTTTTTTACACCCTTTACGATTTCAACGAGCTCCACAATTACTGACACGATACCGTTGACGGTTATTGTTCGGTCTCTCTCCATACACGTGTCTCAGAACAATGACCGACATAACATAACATGCCGCGAGTATACACGAGTATCACAATAACAATGGGCACTCGAAGGGATGGCGACACGGTAAATGACAGTGTACATTTTTATGGAAACCTGTGTTGAGCGTAGTAAAAAAAAAAAACCCATCCGTGTGACATTTTTTTACGCTTACGTAAAGCGGCCCTTTAAGTATTTGCGTTGCAAAGGCACAAGTTGGGCTTTTTTATTTTATCGAAACTTACGGCTGATGTATTTGAAACGAGACGCCGACAAAAATAAAACTTATTGAATATTCCGACCCGGCACAAATGTCAAATGCATGTTAGGCGGCCTACGCGACGTCTCGTGAGATTCCCGACCATACTCAGTTCGCTTTGGATACGAGTATTATTTTGTTTTGTTATTTTAAACGTCCGTCAAGAGCGTCTTGCCGTTATGTAATAATAATTCTATTGTCATAGCGGCACACGACCTCTTCCGGTCAATGATGTGTAAAACTAACGGGCGCAAGGACAAATTGAAAGCGCTTACAAATGACGGTCATTTCGACGAGACACGTGCCGGCCTGTTATGTCACGTCAAAAAACAAAGTCGATTTGGACATTTTCGCACTTTACCGAAGTTATCATGGCGGCCCGATAATGATTTCTGCCATCCAACCGTAAAGAATCGCTATTTGCTTTTAGATTTCTTGTTTATGATAAAATGAAATAATATGCGCAAGATGATTTTTTTCATACCGTTCGTCTTCCGGTTCGTTATGCCGAGTGTTGAGAACTTTTCGGCCATATTTCCCCCGCTCGCCATTATTACTTGGAACGCCGTGCGCGTGATCGCTTCACGTTTTTCATTTTAATAGTGTTCATTCGTCGCACGGCACCAAACGCCGATAAGACACACACACACACCCACACATAAACAATATATTTTAAATTGTCATGTCTTAAACGGCTAACGGTTATTTATCTTTTACGAGACTTTAAAACTTTCTGCGCCGAAATTCGATCCGAGATTTTTACGTTCCATTTGCAGTTGACTTGTACTGGTGCACACACACACACGGCCACTTACTCATATTAATGATGACGCGCGTTCGCACATGTCGTCTTGAGTCGAACTAAAAGAAAGGGGGAAAGGGTTGGGTTGGGTAGAAACGAGAACAGAAAAAACTACCGTAAGTTTTTCGTTAGATATTAAAAACGATGGGAACGGTCGCGCTCCGTTTGTTTTTCTGATATTTTTCAAACGCTTAATAACTTTAAGTGCTCGTTACCGTTTGCTGCAGACTCGCCGCTGTCTATGAACCGACAGCAGTCGTATGGTGAAAACGAGTGGCTAAGTGAGATGTATCGCCGAGACGTATCCGAGTCACGCCATTGTTAAGGTTGATTTGTAAAAACTCACTTCACACAAACTGTTTTAAATTATATTTCGCATTCTAAATGATACGTACCAGTTTTGAAGAATTTCATTTTGCAAATTATATGAAAATATAATGAACACACACAAAAGTCGAATGCATTTTGTCACAAAAACAAACGTTTTCGCAGAAACGAGACACATTCCATAGACGTCACATTGTTAGCAACTATCATTCCTTATTATTTCTATTCTATAACAATAAACGTATTGTTTTACGTTATAATCGCGTATAAGAGTTCTATATATTAAATTGATCGTTATTACTTTTTTATTTTTTCAGGTGAGTTTCAAGGAAATTATTTGGAAAACTCGAAGGACGTCTGGCTGATATTTTCAAGTGAGAAATGTATATTAATATAATAGGGTGAAAAATAAACTGATTGCAGAGTATACGTCTAAATCATAAATGCAATTTAACAGTAAAATGTAATTATGTATTCATTTAAGTTTTTTAATTATGCGAAAGCGTCTTAAAAATTTTACGAACAAAACTTATTTGAGAATATAACAAATTAACGTTTAATTTGTAGTCAGCAAGAGTGCTAGAATAATAAACTTAACGTCTTGTGTTAAAAAGTGATTTGAATGCTCTTTTTCCCTTTGTTAACAAAAGGTGAATTTATTTTTGTCTGTGTTCACTCGTAATTGTTTTTATCGACACCAAATCCGTCGCATTTCAATATTTCTAACTTTATTGTCAAGTCGGACGATTTCTACGTTTTCGTGTTATTACTTAAACCATTTTCGGTCTAATGTAGTTTAAGTTTTTAGCTTGTGTCATAAGCAGACTCAATAGTAGCAGCTTAAATAAAAGAATACGAAATAGTTGCTAAACTTTTAAGTTTTGCTAATGTAAAAAAAGTTTCTAGTGTCTTGAAGCATAATAAGCATTTTTAAATGACATAAAAAGTATATATTATGTTACTGCGTTATTTTTTCTTTGGGGTTTAAGAGAAATTTTGAGATTATTCAACTAGGCGAAAATATTAAAAAGAAATCTAAATGAAAAATTACCTAAATTAAAAAGTACAGAAACGCGCTGAAAATGTTTTTTTTTCATTATCACATTTTATTATACAGTGGGTACACTCATTATTACATTAAATGTATAATCACAATGGAAAAGCGTTTTAATCACTTTTCATTAAAATTTTTAAAATGTGCGCGTTCATTTTAATTAATACGACAACAGTAAGTAACTTTTATTAATGATTCAGACATTTTAACAATATAAAAATGACTGCACTTCAAATGTTATATCACTAATCGTTAACGGATAGGATTATTGACATGTATCATTAATCATAAAAGAAAAAAATACTCATTTTTCTGTTGAAGTAATATATGTTAAAATATACTCTTTATTTGAATAATTTGTATTTTATTTTAATATAGCCATGTGTAATAAAATGTGGTTGAAAGTTGTTTTATTTTAAACACAAAACTTAAAAGGGAAACTTGGTTACTTTCCAGATATTTGAAATGTTTTATTTTTATGTGTTATATACTTGTTTGGGTGTTTCTTAAAAAGTTATCGTGTAGCAAAAGCCTACACTTTGAGATAGTATTTTGTATATTACTCCAAGCTTTTTATTAAATAAATGTGTGTGAGAGTATGTAAGTATCTGATGGGGCCAAAAAGAATTTAAACAACAAACGCTTTAAACTTTTCGAAAGAAAAAACTCGCTTCTCAAACTAAAGATTAACAATTCAGTCACGAGGTACTAAACACATATGCTGCTAGATAAAAAGCTGCATAACTAACTTCTTTTACAGTTCTGATAGAATACGCCAGGTTTCTATGGTCATATTCATTGAACACGCCAAGTGCAATATATAAAAAGTCATAACACATAATTCAAACAATTCTTACTTTAGGCACTTAACATTCAACAAATATAATACAAATCATAGTATGTGTGTTGTAAGTAGAAGCAGACTGTATAATTTACTTAATTCATTTTATTTAGTCTATTATTTTAAAATTTCTTATTGGTAGCTGAGCTCGGTCAACAAACCAGAACTTCACCCTATTGCATTTTAATCGATGCAAACCATTTATTGATCAATGTTCTGTGAAGTTATCCAGATAATATTATAACAGAAGATGAGAAAGGAACAAAATAGATTGAGCTAATATTTACATCAAATTTTAATTTAAAGCTTCGATTAAACACTTTTAACATTTTTAATTAAATATAAGTGTTTTTAATAACTTAATAATTTTGAACTATTTTCTTCTGTTACTTGAAATTTCGCAAATAGTAATTTATTTCTTACGATTTGATATTAACTTTGCAAAAAGGTTGTATACTTTAATTAAGCATGATTGAATTTTGTTAAGCTTCTGTTAGTTAAATTTCCTGGCATTTAAGTAGTAAATCACTAGAAAAACCATTTTATCAACAATTCTATATGGTTATTTTGGTCGTAAATTACCCCTAAAGACATTTTAAATGTTTTTATTTTATTTAGGAAAAATAAAATAATTTTTTTTTCAAAGTTTCATACTCTAAACTACAAACTAAAATACTCTTTTAATTAAACATAGATATTCAAATCTTGAAAGCGAATTTATGATGAAAGTGTTATAAAATACCAGGAAGTCACAAAAAAATGCTCGAGGTGTTATTTCTAACTTCTGGGATCCATAAGAGAATTTTAGAAAAATATATAGTAAATAAATTTTTGACGCTGAAAACTTTAAAATAAAAATAGGACAATTAAAAATAATTTAAATAGCTATATATTTTTAAAGTTTTAGACTTGAAAAAAAATTTAAACAATTTTTTGATAAAATTGCAAAATAATAGTTTTTTTTTTACGATAAAATATTCTTACGATCACTAGTCGGTGAAATAATTCAAGTGTATCAGAACTAACTAATAATTTACCCTAAAACAGTCAGCTAAATAATTTGGTTGATTTATTTTTCTTTTATATTTAATTTATGAAGTCATTGTACGATTTTTTTTAGTTTCAAATAGTAAAATTAATTCATTACCAAAGGTTGAAAATTTTACTTGATACGATGAAAAAAGTTAAGAACTCAAGTTATACACGTGTGATTAAATTTATAAGTAATTTATAATTTAAATAAGAACCTTGTAGTTTTTATTTATTTATCTGTTTATTTAAGTGTTATAGTTTTATTTTCTCATTAATGTGCTTGCGTTGACATTAAATTTGGTTTACGAAAAATCATTGAAAAAAGTTCTTTAAGAATCTATTTTTGTTTAAATTGAATCCACAAAAATATTTTTTATGTGCGCCATTAAATGAGTATTTATGAATAGATCTTTAATGCGAGATGCTTATTAATTTTTTAATTTGAATTCTTACTTATAAAATATTTTCTTATAATAGAAGCATTCCACTTCTTTATACTTTAGTATTTCAAAGTAAGGAAGATGTATCGTTATCCATCTCTGCTAAAAAGATTGTTGAGATGAGATAATACAAAAAAATAATAGGAGTGTAAAACTTGTGTAAACTCATACGCATAGATATGTATAATATATCAATTAAATTTTTTCATTCACAAATTTAAATTTACATTGATATATACAACTAACCTACTTCATAATTACTATAGGATTCTTTAAATATATTGTTATTGTGAAAAAAATGATTTACATGACCCTTTAAAAGAAACGCCATTACAAAGATAAAAAATGTATACGTTTTATGAAAGCGTTTTAATACATAGGTGTTCAGTTAAGTATTATTACAGTGCGTTAACATATCATTTATATATACTGAAGGAAATGCACACATGGCATACTAAGTATTATTACTTTGCAATGTAAACGGATCACAATTACAAAACGAAATTACTTAAGGCAAAAACCGTTTTGNGTATAGAAGCATTCCACTTCTTTATGCTTTAGTATTTCAAAGTAAGGAAGATGTATCGTTTATCCATCTCTGCTAAAAAAATTGTTGAGATAAGATAATACAAAAAAATAATAGGATAGTAAAAATTGTGTACACTCATACTCATAGATATGTATAATACAGGGTGGCCCACCACTCACTGACAACTTAAATAACTTTTGATCCAGTTAATATTTTTAGTTGATTTTTTTTTTAAANTGATTTCACTCACATAATATATTATAGTCATTAAGAAATAATAGATTTATTTGAATTCATATTTTTCTTTCCTAACTTGTTGATTTCAAAATAGTAATAATACTGAACATTCTATTATCAAGTTAAATTAAACGTTACAATATTTTTAATCTATAAGTATATGCACTGCATGTGTAATCTAAACAAAATGTATTCATGAGTTAGTTTTTATTTAGTTTTAAATAAAAAAATACAGAAAAGTGATTCCTAGGTATTTTTCTTTTACCTAACGAAGGAGAAATAAACGTACATGATAAGTATATTGTATGGTTGTGCCNGAATTCATATTGAGAAAAGGACAGAAGAAAACGCTATCTTTTCAATTCACTTTTGAATGAAAGTGATAAGTAATAATTGCCTTATCTAATTTCTTATCATGGTATTAATGCCAAGTTTGTAATGTATACATATTATCATCATATGTATACACANTAGGACATTTTCCAAAACTTCTGAAAACCATTTCACGAAAAGGGTCTAAATAAATGCTGTATTTATCCATTTCGGTAATATACATCTACATGATTGTTAGGATTGTTAGAGGATTGGACTTTTCATTGCTCAAAATGTTCATAAATGCAGTAATATTATAGTTGAGAATATCGGTATGTACGCATAAGGAAAGTTCATGTCCAGTATATAAAGAATTAATTTTAGAATAAAGAATGATAAAAAATTTAGACTCTTTCCGTTTCTTTTAAACATTTTATTTATTTATTGTTTATTTATCTTTAAATTATTTATTTCATAAAATTTTATAGAAAAAAAGTATGAACAAAGTTCGAAAAAAGCATTGAAGACCTATTTAATTTTCTATATTTTTTATACAGCTCATTGTTCAGTTGTATGGACAAGTATACACAATTATTATTCATACAACAATGTTCCTATTTTTTAATTTAAATATTTGCTTATATCGATGTCGAATTATTTAATATTTATTAACAAATAGGCTGCCCATAAAAATGTTTAGTACACTCTAGGGTTCTTTGACAAATCTATCATCTGCTATCTAATTAAATGTTTATAGAACTAAAAATAATGTAAAAAAGGTTACTCTTACTCTTATGGTAATTTGTATTTAATTTATTATAAGCTAAACTGTCTCTAATAACGGTCACCATATGAGTATGTGGGCAAGTTTTATGTGCTAAATAATTTATTAAGCCACGTATGACACTGTAGTCGGCTCAAATTAATTA